TCAGTGCGAGGTCAGAGCGGAGGCGACCGGCCCGCCTCCGCCTCCCGGGACCCAGAACTGCTCCGGGGGAGGCAGCAGCGTCGGGCTGCGGGGGCTGTGGTGACGGATAACTCACTCACGGCTGCCCCTCGGCGGTCCCCGCCGGCCATCCATCCTTCCACCCATGTACCCATCCATCCGTCCGTCCATCCGTCCGTCTGCACACCACCAGGAGCAGGAGGGAGGCACGCAGACCTCAGATGCTGACGGGAAAGCGTGCGGGAGGGAGACACCCAGTGGATGGGTGGGTGGGTCAGTGGATGGATGGATGGATGGATGGATGGATGGATGGATAGGTGGAAGGATGGATGGATGGGTGGGTGGATGGATGGATGGATGGGTGGGTGGGTGGGTGGATGGATGGAGGGATGGATGGATAGAAGGATGGAATGAAGGATGGAAGGATGGGTGGGTGGATGGATGGATGGATGGGTGGATGAATGGATGGGTGGAAGGATGGATGGATGGGTGGATGGATGGATGGTGGATAGATGGGTGGGTGGATGGATGGGTGGGTGGGTGGATGGATGGAGGGATGGATGAATGGATGGAGGGATGGATGGAGGGATGGATGGATGGGTGGGTGAATGGATGGGTGGGTGGGTGGATGGATGGAGGGATGGATGAATGGATGGAGGGATGGATGGAGGGATGGATGGATGGGTGGATGGATGATGGGTGGATGGATGGATGGATGGATGGGTGGATGGATGATGGGTGGATGGATGGATGGGTGGATGGATGATGGGTGGATGGATGGAAGGATGGATGAGTGGAAGGATGGATGGATGGGTGGATGGATGGATGGTGGATGGATGGGTGGGTGGGTGGATGGATGGATGGAGGGATGGATGGATAGATAGAAGGATGGAATGAAGGATGGAAGGATGGGTGGGTGGATGGATGGATGGAGGGATGGATGAATGGATGGAGAAATGGATGGAGGGATGGATGGATGGGTGGATGGATGGATGGGTGGATGGGTGAATGGATGATGGGTGGATGGATGGATAAATGAATAGAAGGATGAATGGGTGGTGATGGATGGAAGGATGCAGTCAGGGCTGCCGCCAGCAGGTGGAGCCTGCGAGCCTCCGTCTGTTGGAACCAGTGCGGCCGCCTCTGCGGCTCCGGAAGGCCAGCAGCAGGCGGGCCGGTGACCAGGGGTGCCCTCCGCGGAGGCCTCACCACGGGCCATCTGGGGGGACTGTTCTAAGTGACTGAAATGTCTGATTAGCATGAGGTACGTCTTGTTCCTGCTCGCACCCAGTGGGCGTCATATGAATATCTGAGTACTTGTTGGCTAATTGATACCAATTGCCTGGGCCTCTCCTTGCTGAGAAGGAGTCAAACCAGTTGCGTTTTAAATATATATATATATATTACCCAGCAGGCATGGTTCAGGGATCAAGCATCGACCTAGGAACCAGGAGGTCAGGGTTCGATTCCCAGTCAGGGCACAGGTCCGGGTGGCGGGCTCCATTCCCAGTGGGGGGCGTGCAGGAGGCAGCCGATCCGTGATTCTCTCTCATCAATGATATTTCTCTCTCTCTCTCTCCCCCTCTCCCTTCCTCTCTGAAATCAATTAAAAAAAAAAATATTTACTTTAGCCGAGACCGGTTTGGCTCAGTGGATAGAGCGTCAGCTTGGGGACTGAAGGGTCCCGGGTTCGATTCTGGTCAAGGGCATGTTCCTTGGTTGCGGGCACATCCCCAGTGGGGGGTGCGCAAGAGGCAGCTGATCGATGACTCTCTCTCATCGATGTTTCTAACTCTCTATCTTTCTCCCTTCCTCTCTGTACAAAATCAATAAAGTATATTTAAAAATAAATAAATAAATAAATAAATAAAATACTTTATATATTTATATATTTTTTTTTGAGGCCTGGTGCATTAAATCCATGCATGGCCCTCTTGCAATCCGGGACTGCTGGCTCCTAACAGCTCACCTGCCTGCCTGCCTGCCTGCCTGATGCTCCTAACTGCTCTCCTGCCAGCCTGATCTCCCCTAACGGTCTCCGCCTCTGACTGGGCCCTGCCACCATGGTTTAGTCTGGAAGGACGTCAGAAAGATGTCCGGTCCAATTAGCATATTCCCCTTTTATTAGTATAGATATAGATATATATATTTAATATAGTCTCCCACACCCAACCCCTGAGCCACCCCAGCCAGACCAATTGTGTGTTGCTGTTGGGTTTTATTTATTTAAGGCTGCCAGTTTACAGGGGGAGAAAAGTACCATAGTGTGTCAGAATGGGTTGGGGAACATTCTAGTATTCCTTACATGTTTACCTTTTTTTGTTGTTTGTTTATTTATTTATTATTTTATTGATTTTTCACAGAGAGAAAGAGAGAGGGATAGAGAGCTAGAAACATCGACGAGAGAGAAACATCGACCAGCTGCCTCCTGCACGCCCCCCACTGGGGATGTGCCTGCAACCAAGGTCCATGCCCTTGATCGGAATCGAACCCCGGACCTTTCAGTCCGAAGACCAATGCTCTATCCACTGAGCCACACCGGTTTGGGCGCATGTTTTCCTTTCATGAAAGGCCCGGTGACCTTCAAAGCCCTTTCAACCCCCAAGTGACTGGCTGAGACGCACCGGATCCTCTGCTCCCGCTGTGAGGGCCCCGGCCCCCTGCGCTGCCCTCCGCGGCCGCTAGAGGGCAGGCGGGAGGCGGACAAGCCAGCCTGGGAGGCGCCTAGGACAGTGGTCGGCAAACTCATCCGTCCAGAGGCCAACACCCACAGCACAACCACTGACATGTCTTTGGAGAGACGCATTTTTTAAACCTAAGCTTCTTCTGACGCCACTTCTTCAACTCAGACTCGCCCAGGCCGTGGTGTTTTTGTGGAAGAGCCACACGCAAGGGGCCAAAGAGCCGCGTGTGGCTCGCGAGCCGCAGTTTGCCGACCACACGGCTAGAACAACGAAATGCCCAGGAATTGGTTTGTCAGGTGGAAATTCCCCCAGGACTTTTTTTCTGAACCTTTAAAAATACACGGAGCTGCCGAAACCGGTGTGGCTCAGTGGACAGAGCGTCGGCCTGCGGACTGAAGGGTCCCGGGTTCGATTCCGGTCCAGGGCAGGAACCTCTGTTGCAGGCTCCTCCCAGGTCAGGGCTCCCGCAGAAGGCAACCCATCGATGTGTCTCTCTCTCTCTCCCTCTCCCTCCGCTCTCTCTAAAATCAACGGGAAAATATTCTCGGAGGAGGATTAAGAATGGAAGGAGGGAGGGAGGGAGGGAGGAGGGGAGGGAGGGAGGGAAGGAGGGAAGGAGGGAAGGAAGGAGGGAAGGAAGGAAGGAAGGAGGGAGGAGGAGGGAGGGAGGGAGGAGGGAAGGAGGGAAGGAAGGAGGGAAGGAAGGAGGAAGGAAGGAAGGAAGGAAGGAAGGAAGGAAGGAAGGAAGGAAGGAAGGAAGGAAGGAGGGAGGAGGGAGGAAGGAAGGAAGGAGGAAGGAAGGAGGGAGGAAGGAAGAAAGGAGGGAAGGAGGGGAGGGAGGGAGGGAGGAAGGAAGGAGGGAGGGAGGGAGGGAGGAAGGAGGGAGGGAGGGAAAGGAGGAGAGGGAGGGAGGGAAGGAGGAAGGAGAAGGAAGGAAGGAAGGAGGGAGGAGGGAGGAAGGAAGGAAGGAGAAGGAAGGAGGGAGGAAGGGAGAAAGGAGGGAAGGAGGGGAGGGAGGGAGGAGAGGGAAGGAAGGAGGGAGGGAGGGAGGGAGGGAGGGAAGGAGGGAGGGAGGGAAGGAGGGAAGGAAGGAAGGAAGGAAGAAAGGAAGGAAGAAGGAGGGAGGGAGGGAGGGAGGGAGGGAGGGAGGAAGGAGGGAGGGAAGGGAGGGAGGGAGGAAGGAAGGAAGGAAGGAGGGAGGGAGGGAGCTGGGATTTTACCCCCGCGCCCAGTGCAGAAACCCCCGCCTGGGGCACATTTCTCCTCCGCAGGAAGCAGTGGTTTCTCTCCCGCTTCCCAACTTTTGTTTAAAAAGCAAAACACAGACAAATACTGGTTTCCTCCCTTCCTGCCCCAGCGAGGCTTGCGGCCTGCGGGCCTGGCCCTCGGAGCTTCAGGGGCAGCGGCAGGGCCGGGGCGCCTGCTCCCCCAAATAACGGGCTCCGCGGGGGGGGAGGCGCTTCGGAGAGCTGCCCCGCGACCCGGACTCCCAGCCGGCTCCCCGACCGGCCTACCCGCACCCACGCCCCCGGCGGTACCCCCCCCCCCCTCCAGGCCCCCCTCCCCACGCCCCGGACTCCCCTCCCCCCCTCCCCCGCTTCCTCCCCCCTCCCCCCCCCCCCCCCCCCCCCCCTCCCCCCCCCCTCCCCCTGCCACCCCTCCCCCCCCCCCCCCCCCCCCCTCCCCGCCCCCCCCCCCCCCCCCCCCCCCCCGCCCCCCCCCCCCCCCCCCCCCCCCCCCCCCCCCCCCCCCCCCCTCCCCCCCCCCCTCCCCCCCCCCCCCCCTCCCCTCCCCCCTCCCCCCCCCCCCTCCCGCGGCCCCCCTTCCCCGGGCCCCCCTCCCCGGGCGCCCCCTCCCCGGCGCACTCTCCCCGGGCCCCCCTCCCCGGCCCCCCCTCCCCGTTGCCCCCCCTCCCCGGGGCCCCTCCCCGGGGGCCCCCCTCCCCGGGGCCCCCCTCCCCCGCCCCCTCCCCGAGGAGCGGTGGGGCCCCTCCCCGGCGCACACTCCCGGGCACCCCCTCCCCGGGGGGGCCCCCTCCCCCGGGCCCCCCTCCCCAGCCGCACTCTCCCCGACCCCCCTCCCGGGGGTGGGTGGTTGGGGGGTGGCGGGGGTGGGGGGTGGGTGGGGCGCCGGGCCCCTCCCCGGCACTCTCCCCGGTGTCTCCCTGGAACGCGGTCCGCCGCCTCCCGGTGAGATGCCCGCCCGCCCCGCGCCGCCCGCCGCCCGCCCGGCGCTGATCAGCCGCCGCCGCCGCCAGGCCTGCCGCGTCCCTGCGCCCGCGCCCCGCGCCCGGCCCGGCCAGGGGCACCCGGCCCCCCCGCGTCCCCGCGCCCCGGACCCGCGCCAGGTAAGTGGGTGCGGGGGGTTGGGGGTGCGGGGTCGGGGGCCCGCCGGGCGCAGCGCCCTGGGCGCAGGGGGCCCCGGGCCGCGCGCCTCGGAGACCGGTCCCGGGGGCGCAGGGGGCCGGGGGCGCGGGGATCCCCGCCGGCGCGCCCCCAGGGCCCGGGCTGCGCGGCTGGCGCGGGTGCACACCCCTGGGGGCCGGGTGTTGTGCGTGTGTGTGTGTGTGTGTGTGTGTGTGTGTGTGTGTCGTGCTGTGTTCCGGCCTCGCCGGCTCCTCTCCAGTGGGGACCCCGGGGGGCCCCCCATCTCCCTCCCTCTCCCCGGGGGTCCCGGCGCCCCCGCCGGAGGAGGGAGCGCGCCGAGCTGTCCTGAACCAAACTTAACGGGTTGTTGTGCCTGCAACTTCGGTGCCTGGAGCGCAGTCCCTCCGGGGCTGCAGGAGGGGGACCAGCGGGGTCCCCCCTCAGGGGTCCCCCCCGACACACAGCGCAGCCCTGAAGGTCACGGTGGGCGTGGGCTCCGGGCAGTCCTGGGGGTGCCCGCCGGCCTTGCTAACGGGGTGCGCGCTGCCCCAAAGGCTTGCACGCGGTTCCAATAGTCCAGCTGGTGCTGGTGCAGCGGGGCTGGGGGTGGCATCTGGGGGGGCGCATGGATTCTAGAACTGGATGCTCCGAGAGCCCCTACTGTGCGCGGGGAAAGTTCTGGAAGGGGGGACCAGGGGAAAGGTCACCAGGTGAGGGGCTGGGCCTTCCCTGCCCTCAGCCCTCCTCTCTCTCTCTCTCTCTCTCTCTCTCTCTCTCTCTCTCTTTCTCTCCCTCTCTCTCTCTCTCTCAAGCTTCACTCGAGGATATGTGTCCATTGATTTCCAAGAGAGAGGGGGAGCCGCCCCGGTGTGGCTCAGTGGATAGAGCGTCGGCCTGCGGACTGAAAGGTCCCGGGTTCGATTCCAGTCAAGGGCATGGACCTTGGTGGCGGGCACATCCCCGGTGGGGGGTGTGCAGGAGGCAGTTGGTCGATGATTCTCTCTCATCGATGTTTCTAACTCTCTATCCCTCTCTCTTCCTCTCTGTGAAAAATCAATAAAATATATTTTTTTAAAAAGGGAGAGGGGGGGAGGGAGAGAGAGGGAGAGACAGAGAGAAGCATCGATGGGAGAGAGACACATCCATGGGCAGCCTCCTGCATACACCCAGACCAGGGCCTGGGCCAAGGAGGAGCCTGCCACCCAGGTCCGTGCCCTTGACCGGAATCGAACCCGGGACCCTTTGGTCTGCAGGCCGACGCACTACCCACTGAGCCACCCCGGCCGGAGTTCTTAAGCCGCCTCTTGGCAAGAAGCGGGGACCCCCTGGGCTGTTACAAGTTTCATCAAAAGGTCGGAAACCTGCCAGGTGGGGTTAGGGCGCCCTGGAGCCCCCGGGGTGATTTGCAAACAGGATTTCGATCCAGGCCCGGTTGGCCTGAGACACACATGGAAACGTGGGCAGGCAAACCACACATGCAAACACGCACCTGCGGGCGGGGGGTGGGGGGGGGGGGGGGGGAGGCCTGTGCTGAGATCAGGCAGCGCCCGGTCATCCCAAAGACAGAGGGCAGTGTGGCTGCTGGCTTATCGGGCCTCCCCTCTGGGGGCTGGATGATTGCTTTCCCGCTCTCACTTTTTCTAGTCGCTCTGAAAATAAAAATAAAATTGGGGGAGATGCTTTGTAGCCGCTCCAACAGATGACTACAGGTGTGGCTCAGTCCTTGTTGAGCCCCCCAAGCTTCACTAACCTTTAAAATATATATATATATATATATATATATATATATATATATATATATATATATATATTTTAAATATATTTTATTGATTTTTTTACAGAGAGGAAGGGAGAGAGATAGAGAGCTAGAAACATCGATGAGAGAGAAATATCGACCAGCTGCTTCTTGCACACCCCTTACTGGGGATGTGCCCGCAACCAAGGTCCATGCCCTTGCCCGGAATCGAACCCGGGACCTTTCAGTCCGCAGACCGACGCTCTATCCACTGAGCCAAACCGGCTTCAGCTTAAAATATATTTTTATTGATTTTTTTTTTTTTGAGAGAGAGAGTTAGGGAGAGAGAGAGTTAGAAACACCAATGAGAGAGAGTCATCCATCAGCTGCCTCTTGCACGCCCCCTGCAACCAAGGCACACGCCCTTGACCAGAATCGAACCCGGGACCCTTCAGTCGGCAGGCCGACGCTCTATCCACTGAGCCAAACTGGTTTCGACTTTCACCAACCTTTTGATGAAACTTGTAACTATGACATGCTGGAAATGGCGAATGGAGCTAAAGACTCTCTCCTGGTCTCAGGACCCCTTGCTTTTTATCAGCACCATGTGTCCTAAGGCAAGGTGGAGATAAGAGGCTTCGGAGGGCAGGGTTTACAGAAGCCTTGTCAGATGGGGGAATGGCCCACAGCTGTTCCGGTGTCTGGCCAACAGGGGGCAGTAACGTGCAGATGGAGATGCCCTGAGCTGTCTGGCAGCAGACAGCCGTCCTATTCAGATTTGGGGGAAGTGCCGTTTAGCTGCTCCAACAGGTGACCACATATGTGGCTCAGCCCTTGTTGAGCCCCCGAGCTTCACCAACCTTTTTTAAAAATATATTTTATTGATTTTTTCACAGAGAGGAAGAGAGAGGGATAGAGAGTTAGAAACATCGATGAGAGAGAATCATCCATCAGCTGCCTCTTGCACAGCCCCCACTGGGGATGTGCCCGCGGCCAAGGTACATGCCCCTGACCGGCATCGAACCCGGGACCTTTCAGTACACCGGCGGACGCTCTATCCACTGAGCCACACCGGCTTCGGCTCACCTGGTGTTTTAAATGCTGGCTCACAGTTTTAAAAATAAGTATTATATTATGTGCCCTGGCTGGTGTGGCTCCTGCAGTTAGCTGAGCATCGGCCTGCGGACTGAAGGGTCTTGGGTTCGATTCTGGTCAAGGGCACGTACCTTGGTTGCGGGCACATCCCCAGTAGGTCAATGATTCTCTCTCATCGATGTTTCTCTCTATCCCTCTCTCTTCCTCTCTGTGAAAAATCAATAAAATATATTTCAAAACAACAACAAAAAACACAATCCTGCCTAAACCGGTTTGGCTCAGTGGATAGAGTGTCGGCCTGTGGACTGAAGGGTCCCGGGTTCGATTCCAGTCGGGGGCATGTATCTTGGTTGCGGGCACATCCCCAGTGGGGGGTGTGCAGGAGGCAGCTGGTCGATGATTCTCTCTCATCGATGTTTCTAGCTCTCTATCCCTCTCCCTTTCTTTGTGAAAAATCAATAAAATATATATATATTTTTTAAATAATAATAAAATAATTAAAAAAAAAAAAAAAAACACAGTCCTGCCCAGCTGGTATGGCTCAGGGGCTGAGGGTTAACCTAGCAACCAGGAGGCCAGGGTTCGATTCCCGGTCAGGGACCAGGCCCCGGGCGGCGGGCTCCATCCCCAGGGTGGGGCGTGCAGGAGGCAGCCGATCCTGGATTCTCTCTCCTCGCGGATGTTTCTCTCTCTCCCTCCCTCCTTTCCTCTCTGAGATCAATTCAGAGATATTAAAAACAAAACAAAACAAAACAAAACAGAAAACCCTGCCATCCCAAGGTGGCTTGTGGCTAAGCCATGATTTAAATGGAAAATGAAACGGTGTCAAGGAAAACCTTAAATTATCCGTCTGGCCACCGCGGGGCACAGCACTTACGGGCTTGACGGCGGTCCAAGGCCTAAGGTCAGTGCTTCTAACAAACGCCGACGGGGGAGACCAGGGCCTGTGCTGGCTTTTGGCAGAGACGCGGTGGAACGGGTCCATGGCCGTAAAAAATAAAAATAAGATTCGTTTGAACGGGAGTGCGCATCACAGCGGAAAGTAGGTGAAGCGGCCCAGGAGGAAATATTCCCAAAGCAGGTCGGATCCTTCCTCCCCTCCCCCCCCCCCCCCCCCCCATCCGAGGGCCGGGTGCGAGGCCACGGGACCGGCCCGAGAGGCAGTTAGGAGGCAGCCTGGCGCCGAAACCGGTGCGGCTCAGTGGATAGAGCGTCGGCCTGCGGACTGAAGGGTCCCGGGTTCGATTCCGGTCAAGGGCATGGACCTTGGTTGCGGGCACATCCTCAGTGGAGGGGCGTGAAGGAGGCAGCTGGTGGATGTTTCTCTATCATTGATGTCTCTAACTCTCTCTCCCTCTCCCTTCCTTTCTGTAAAAAAAACAATAAAATATTTTTTTTAATTAAAATTTAAAAAAACAAGAAGGCAGCCTGGGGTTTGCAGGCAGCTGGCGGGTCGGCATTCAGTCCTGGCTCTGCCCTGGCTCAGGGGACCTGACTGAGTTGCATTTTGGGGAGTCAGGTGTCCTCGTTTTTATTTTATTTATTTATTTATTGGGGGGGAGGTCAATCCTCACCCGAGAATTTTTTTTTAAAATTTTTTTTATTGATTTCAGAGAGAAAGGGAGAGCGGGGGAGAGAGAGAGAGAGAGAGAAACATCCAGGAGGAGAGAGAATCGTGGATCAGCTGCCTCCTGCACGCCCCCTGCTGAGGATCAAGCCCGCAACCTGGGCCTGTGCCCTTGACTGGAATCCAACCCTTCAGTCTGCAGGCCGACGCTCTATCCACTGAGCAACAGGCCACGCCAGATATCTTATTATTTTTTAAAATATATTTTATTTATTTTTTTCTTACAGAGAGGAAGGGAGAGAGATAGAGTTAGAAACATCCATCAGCTGCCTCCTGCACACCCTCTCTGGGGATATGCCCGCAACCAAGGTCCATGCCCTTGACCGGAATCGAACCCGGGACCCTTCAGTCCGCAGGCCGACGCTCTATCCACTGAGCCAAACCAGTTAGGGTTTGTTTGTTATTTTAATTTTTATTCCAGAGAGGGAGGGAGAGGGATGGACAGTCAGAAACACGGATGAGAAAGAAACATCCATCAGCTGCCTCCTGCACGCCTCCTGCTGGGGATGTGCTGGCAACCAAGGCACATGCCCTTGACCGGAATCGAACCCGGGACCCTTCAGTCCGCAGGCCGACGCTCTACCCACTGAGCCACACCGGCCAGGGCTGACTCTCTGATCCTGATGCTCTCTCTCATCCTCACCCCTGCCTCGCCCAGGGGGACACTGAGGCCCAGGGGGGTGAGATCCCCTGCCCGCGTTGCCCTGCTGGGCAGTGGGACTGGGCTGAGATCCGGAACCCAAGGGCTGGCTCCGGTCCCTCCTCCCTCCTCCCTCCTCCCTCCTCCCTCCCCCCCTCCCCCCGTGGCGGCGGCTGGGACACAGATGGTGTGCCTGGCGGGTGGGGCCCGCAGCCGCACCCCCACCAGGGCCCTGTGAGCAGCCGCACTGCCCGTCAGGGGGGTCACCTTCGAGGCGGCGGCGGCTGGCTCTGACGCACCCTCCGCGGACGCGCGGACTGGGCCCGGAGCCTGCCCCCGGCTTCCCTTTTCCCGGCCCCGGGAGGACACGGAGGAACATCCACCAGCCGCCTCCTGCGCGCCCCCCGCTGGGCATGTGCCCGCGACCCAGTGCACGCACGCCCTTGGCCGGAATCGAACCCGGGACCCTCCAGGTCGCAGGCCGGCGCTCTGCCCACTGAGCCACACGGGCCAGGGCTGACTCTCTGATCCTGATGGTCTCACCCAGGGGGAAACTGAGGCCCGGGGGGTGAGATCACCGGCCCACGTTGTCCTAAGACAGGCCTGTCTGGAGTGGGGGTCTGGCTGGCCGGGCTCCGGTGGGGCTGGGGGGGGGGCGTGTGTGTGCGTGTGTGCGTGTGTGTGTGTGTGAAGGCTCTTTGCAGAGCGGGGAGCGGGACGCCAGACTCAGGGGCAACGAGTAACCGCACCCAGAGCCCTGGCCGGGGTGGCTCAGTGGGTAGCGCTGGTGTGGCTGAATGGATTGAGCATCCTCCCATGGACCGAAAGGTCCCGGGTTCGATTCCCGGTCAGAGCACACACTCAGGGTTGCGGGCTCGATCCCCAGTAAGGGAGGCGGGGCGGGGGGGGGGCGTGCAGGAGGCAGCCGATCCATGATTCTCTCGTCAGTGATGTTCCTCTCTCTCCCTCTCCCCCTCTCCCTTCCTCTGTGACATCTGTACGAATATATTAAACAAACAAACAAACAAAAAACCCAACAAAAAAAAAAGTAAAAAAGGACCCAGCAGCTGAAACTGGTGTGGCTCAGTAGATAGAGCGTCGGCCTGCAGACTGAGAGGTCCTGGGTTCAATTCCGGTCAAGGGCATGTACCTTGGTTGCGGGGGGGTGTAGGAGGCAGCTGATCGATGTTCCTCTCTCATTGATGTTTCTAACTCTCTGTCCCTCTCTCTTCCTCTCTGTGAAAAATCAATAAAATATATATATTTTTTAAAATGACCCAGCAGCTGAAACCGGTTTGGCTCAGTGGATAGAGCGTCAGCCTGCGGACTGAAAGGTCCCGGGTTCGATTCCGGTCAAGGGCATGGACCTTGGTTGCGGGCACATCCCCAGTAGGAGCTGTCCCTCTCTCTTCTTCTCTTTAAAAAAATCAATAAAATATATTTTTTAAAAAATAAAAGAGAGCAGTCACGCCTGGGGCAGGATCTGATGCTGTGTCTGCTCTGTTTCAGCTCCGCCCGCGCCTGCTCTCCGAGGGAACGGACGCTGCTCTCAGCCGCTGCCAGCTGCCATGTGCAGCCACTGCCCCTCCCTCCCGCAGCAGCCCCACCCGGCGTGCCAGCCCACGCCCTGGCCCCTATGAAGAGGTGACTCCGCTTTCTCTCATCTCTGTTCACTCGAATCTCTCCCTTCTCGGTGGAATCTGTTTTCTCTGAACTCTCGCTTCTGTCTTGAGCCATGCAGTTGATTTTGCTGAGTCACCTGATGGATTTTTGCTGTGTCATCTGATCAATGTTGCTGAGCCATGCAATTGATTTTTGCTGAGTCGTGCACTTGATTTTTTTTAAAAAAACATATATTTTATTGACTTTTTTACAGAGAGGAAGAGAGAGGGATAGAGAGTTAGAAACGTGGATGAGAGAGAAACACCCATCAGCTGCCTCCTGCACACCCCCCACTGGGGATGCGCCCGCAACCAAGGTACATGCCCTTGACTGGAATCGAACCCAGTCCGAAGGCTGAAGCTCTATTCACTGAGCCAAACCGGTTTCGGCCATGCACTTGATTTTGCTGAGCCATACAATTGATTTTTGCTGAGTCATCCCATTGATTTTTTTTTTTGCTGAGTCATCCCATTGATTTTTTTTTGCTGAGTCATCCCATATTTTTTTTTTGCTGAGTCATCCCATTGATTTTTTTTTTTTTTTTTTGCTGAGTCATCCCATTGATTTTGCCGAGTCACTCAATTGAGTGACCACTCTGACCAGCAGGTCAGTGCCCTCCGGGGACGGGACGGGAGGAAGACAAGGTGCGGGCGAGGGGACAGCATCGTCCCTTGTGGTTATAGGTAGGCCAGGTTGCCAAGCAGAGGCTGGCCCAGGTGTCCTCCTGACGCTTCGGAGCGGGTGGGGGAGATGGACCCACTGCTCCCGCCAGAGGAGGGAGGGGCCTGCAGAGGCCCGCGGCTGGGGAGGTGGGCCTTGGGCGGCCCGTTTCCCCTTCCTGGGCCTCAGTGTCCACTCTTTTAACACGGCCAGAGTGACGCCTGGCTGGCCTGCCTCCACGGCTGTCCTGAGGACGGAATAATTGACTGGACGAGAAATGCAATGGGCAGCCCTGGCCGGTGTGGCTCAGTGGATAGAGCGTCGGCCTGCAGACTGAAGGGTCCTGAGTTTGATTCCAGTCTAAGGCACAGGCCCGGAGTTGTGGGCTCGATCCCCCAGGAGGGGGCGTGCAGGAGGCAGCCGATTTAGGATTCTCTCTCATTATGGATGTTTCTCGCTCTCCTCCCTTCCTCTCTGAGATCAGTAAAAACATTAAAATAATTTAAAAATAATAATGATAATAGCCGAAACCTGTTTGGCTCAATGGATAGAGCATCGGCTTGGGGACTGAACGGTCCCGGGTTCGATTCCGGTCGAGGGCATGTACCTTGGTTGCGGGCATATCCCCAGTAGGGGGTGTGCAAGAGGCAGCTGATCGATGACTCTCTCTCATCGATGTTTCTAACTCTCTCTCTCTCGCCCTTACTCTCTGTACAAAATCAATAAAATATATATTTTTTTAAAAAAAGTCTTTTTAAAAAAATAATAATAGCCGAAACTGGTTTGGCTCAGTGGATAGAGCGTCGGCCTGCAGACTGAAGGGTCCCGGGTTCGATTCCGGTCAAGGGCATGGACCTTGGTTGCGGGCACATCCCCCGCGGGGGGGGCGTGCAAGAGGCAGCCGATCGATGATCCTCCCTCATCGATGTTTCTAACTCTCCATCCCTCCCTCTTCCTCTCTGTAAACAATCAATAACATATATTTAATAATAATGATGATAATAATAATAACAAACGATGACGCTGCTCGCTGGCTGCCTCCCCGCAGGGCCGGAAGATGCTCCGCCGGCCGCGATGGAGGAGCCCACGCCCGAGGCCGTCTACGTGGACGTGGACAAGGGGCTGACGCTGGCCTGCTTCGTCTTCCTCTGCCTCTTCCTCGTGGTCATGATCATCCGCTGCGCCAAAGTCATCATGGACCCCTACAGCGCCATCCCCACGTCCACCTGGGAGGAGCAGCACCTGGATGACTGAGGGGCCCGCCCACAGCGGGGGACGCGGCTCCCGGAGCGGGGGAGCCCCCCTCAGCCTCGCCTGCTCCCACGGGCGCATCCGAGTGACGTGCTCGGGTGCCCCAGGGGTTCCAGTTTGAGAAACGCAGTGACTATGGGGCGGTCACCATAGTGACACCACCGTGGCCTCCTTTGGGGGGCTCCCTGCCCATCAGATGCAAACTGGCCCTGGAGGCAGGGGGAGCCCCCAGTGAAGCCGCCCCTCCAGGGGGCCACTGTGAATGGGGGTGACGGGGGACGCCCCCCAAAAGCCCCCCAGAGGGCACGGGGACTGCTTCCCGGCTGCATTTTTTAAAAACGAACACAGAGGGGTTTATTTTTCTGCTGCCGATGAGGGGTGCGTTTTAGAAGTTTGGGGGGGAAATACAGAAACGTGGAACCCCGCCTCCCGGGAGCCGCTGCTTTGACATAGTCGCCCAGCCTTTGGGACGCACGCTATCTCCATGGGTCGCACCGCGTGCGTGGTGTGTCGTTCACGTTACAGCGTCGAACCCGGGACCCGGAGTCCCTGTGGGTGGGGGGCATCCTGCCGGGGAGACGAGGTCGATGCTGAGAAACCCTCCCTGTGGTCAGACATTGGAATCTTCTGGTTTTCTCCCCCACAAAATGGTTTGCCACCCGTCACAGCTTCCTTTAAAACATACTGGGAGTGGCCAGATGATGATGGTCTCTGGACACACAATAACCTGGCCACTCCGTGTCTGTCCTATAGAATAAAAGGCTCATATGCACATGGTCCCCTCGACCGGGAGTCCGACCAGCAGGCAGGCAGGCCAACCGCCCACGTCCCCTCCCCCTGGCCAGGCTGGCCGGACCCCACCATGCACGAATTCATGCAGCAGGCCTCACACACACACACACACACACACACACACACACAGAGTGGCCAGATGATGATGATCTCTGAACGCATAATAACCTGGCTACTCAGTGTGTAAATATATTACAGCCCGGTGCATGAATCCGTGCCTGGGTGGGGTCCGGCCAGCCTGGCCAGGGGGAGGGGACGTGGGCGGTTGGCCGGCCTGCCTGCTGGTCGAACTCCTGGTCGAGGGGACCGTTTGCACATTAGCCTTTTATTCTATAGGACAGACACCGAGTGGCCAGGTTATCATGTGTCCAGAGACCATCATCATCCGGCCACTCAGTGTATGTTTTATGGATGTCAGAGAGGAAGGGAGAGGGGCAGAAAGAAACATCAACAATGAGAGAGAATCATTGATTGGCTGCATCCTACATGCCCCCCACTGGGGATGGAGCCCACAACCCCGGCCTGTGCCCTGAGGGGGAATCGAACCCGTGACCTCGGGCTACGCCAGCCGCACAGACGTTGAATTACGTTGTTGATTTTTCCTCACACAAAACTGTCTCAGCCACTCAGGTCTTGGAAGTGCACCGGCCCCCACAGGAATGATGGACGGACGGGGAGACCTGGGCTTCTAGGCCAGCCTCTCAGCACCTCTGTTCCCTCATTTCCCTTATTTCCTTTTATTGCTGGTGAATCCTGCCCGGGAATATTTCTCCCGTTGATTGTTTAGAGAGAGTTGGAAGGGAGAGGGAGAGACGGAGAGAAACAGCGATGGGTTTGCCTCCCGCACACGCCCCAACCAGGGCTGGGGAACCGGCGACGCGGGCACGTGCCCTTGACCGGAATCGAACCCGGGACCCTTCAGCCCGCGGGCCGACGCTCTAGCCACTGAGCCACACTGGCCGGGGGCTGCATGTCCTTACTGGATTGGGAGAGCCGGGCCTCCCTGTCCCATGAGGCCATCCCAGAATCCCAGGCGCTGGCTCAATGCCGAGGGGTCCTGGTCCCATCGCCAGGTCGTGGGACCCCAAAGCCTGATGGCCACTGGGGCGGGTCATGACCCCCCCCAACACCCCCCCTCCCTCCCCGCACCATCTCACTGACACAAACGGACGCAGGGGTGTCTCCGGGAAGCAGTGGAGACGCCCAGGCTGTGTGCAGGGCACCATGGCTTTATTCACTTGCTCCTGGAGGGAGGGGCCCCCGTCCCAGGGTGGGGGGCGGCGGGGGTCCAGCCAGGCGGGCGTCCAGGGCGCCGGGAGGCCCTCACGCCGTGGGGAGGGCGGGCAGCACCTTGCCGGAGCACTGGCCGAAGCCCACGCGGAAGCCGTCCCCCTGGCAGTAGCCTGGAACAGAGGGACACGGGTCAGCCGCGGCCCCCACTCCGGGGTCCCGGGGACCAAGGCCCGGCCGTCTCGGAGCTGGCAGGGACCCCCGAGGTGGGACTCCGTGCCCCGCCCCCACCCCACGGGCCCTCACCAACACCCCAAGGGGCTGCCAGGCTTTCCGTGTGGGTTTGGGCTTCCCCACCGACCAGCCCCGTGACCTTGGCGGGCCCCCCCCCGACTCAGTTTCCTCATCTGTGAAATGGGTTCAGGGAGCGAGCCCAGCAAGGCAGGACCAGGGCAAAGATGAGATGGAAACTGAGCTCGGCCCCCTCACCTGGAGACAGGAGTCACAGGCCTCGGTGACATGCCACGTGTCCCCTCCCCCCCCCAGCACATGCTCACCCACAGGGTAGGTGCCCCAAGCCTGCACGCCCCTCCTCACCCCCCCTCCCCCGCAATGATATTTTGAGGGGAAGGCAGAGAGGAGGGTTTAGACAAGCGTTAGAGGAGAGAAGGCTGCCAGGCGCTGAGAGAGCACAAAGGAGGGGACATCTGAGCTGGGGCGTTGACGGGTGCGTAGGAGTTCGCCGGGAAGGGCATGCCAGGCAGAGGGAACAGACTGTGTCTGCTTCCCGAATGCAGACGGCCTTGGCGTCCTCTTGCTCTGCCCTCCTACTCGGTCCCCACCGCCCCGCCCCCATCTCGCAGACACCCTGGTCCAGATCCGGCGACCTGGGCAACCGGGCATTATTTCATCGCTCTGCGCAGGGAGCCGCGGACAGAGCAGGGCCACATCCGGGGTCTCTGTGGTCCGGGGAGGGTCCGACGGAGAACCCCTGCTACCCAAGGCTGGGAGGAGGGACAGAGCGAGCAGACACTGGGAGGCTAGAGGGGGGCCGAGCCAGACGGCTGCCCAGCCAATGGGACAGCGCACGCAGGCAGGGGGCAGGGGGGCAGGGGGCAGGGGCAGGGAGACTGGTCAGGGAGACGCGGGCAGGGGAGGGGGGGCGGGAGGGGGGCAGGGGGCAGGGGGACGCGGCCGCGGCCCTCACCAGTGATGATGACCTCGTCTCCATCCTGCAGGAAGCGCCGGGTGTTGCTGTAGCCCAGCTCAATGGCCTGCGTGCCGCGCCAGGACAGCTCCAACATGGAGCCGAAGCTCTCGGGCTCCTGCCCAGGGAGGGGAGCAGAGGGTCAGGGCCCGGGGCGGGGCCCGGCGGCAGAGCATCGGCCTGCGAACCAGGAGGCCCCGGTTCGATTCCCGGCCAAAGGCACAGGCCTGGGGGGCGGGCTCCATCCCCACTAGGGGGCGTGCAGGAGGCGGCCGATCCATGATGCTTCTCTCATCATCAATGTTTCTCTCTCCCTCCCCCTCCCTTCCTCTCTGACATCAATGGAAACATATTCTTTAGAAAAGAAAGAAGAAAAATGAAGTGCCCCAGGCACCCAGCTCCGGGGAGCCTGTTGGCTCCGGCGCAGACAGGGCCTGGGGGCCCCGGGCTGGGCGGGGGATCTGGGGCCCCCAAGTCCCTGCCTCGGTGGAACCACAAGGAAAGGCCCTCTGGCAATGCTGGCCCCCCACACACACACACACACTGCGGACAAGAGGCTGCAGTCCAGGCCTGGCAGGAAGGGATGGCACATGCACCCTTCTTCCTTCGCAGCACCCTCTCTGGGGCTCTGAGACCTGCGCTGGGCTGACAGTGGCAGGGGGGGCAGGGAGTGGGGGGAGGAGGCCGCAGCAGCTGCTCCCCACGCAGACAGGCATGGCCTCGCACTCCCACGCCCGCCCCTTTCCCTCTGAATTTGAAATTACAAACAGTTTTCATTTCTTTTAGAGGAAGGGAGAAGGGGGAGGGAAGGATAGAAACAGCAGTGACGGGAGAGAATCATGACTGGCTGCCTCCTGCACGCCCCCCACGGGGGACGGAGCCCGCGACCCAGGCCTGCGCCCTGAGCGGGCAATCGAACCCCGACCTCCTGCTTCCTCGGTTGGTGCTCAAGCCACTGAGCCACACCGGCCGGGCCCTTTGGCGCTGAGTTTGGAAAGGAAACCCCTCCCCGTCCCGGATGTGGAGGAAGCCGAGCAGGACAGAGGCACCCGCCTGGGAGTGAGTGGGGCCCTGGGGGCTGCGTGGGGAGCAGGGGTGGGGGTGGGGGCGTGAGGGGGACTCACCGGCCCGCTGATGGTCCCGGACGCCAGCAGGTCCCCGGGCCGCAGGTTGCAGCCGTTGACGGTGTGGTGAGCGAGCTGCTGCAGCATCGTCCAGTACATGTGCTGCGGGGGACAGGTGGGCACGGGCCTCACACGGCCAGCCAGGGCACACAGCACCCCCCGATACTCCAGGCCCCCTGGCTTCCCCTGGGCCCCTCCCTGGCTTCCCCCAGGCCCCCCAGCCCCCAGGCCACCGGCTTCCCCCAGGTCCCCCTGGCTTCCCCCAGGTCCCCCCGGCTTCCCCCAGGCCCCAAACTCAGCTTCCCCCAGGCCCCCCTCTCGGCTTCCCCCAGGCCCTCTCAGATTCCCCCAGGCCCCCCAACCCCCCAGGCCACCAGCTTCCCCCAGGCTTCTCTCTGGCACCCCTGGATTCCCCCAGGCCCCCCTGGATTCCCCCAGGTCCCCCACCCGGCTTCCCCCTGGGCCCCTCCCCCCGGCTTTTCCCAGCCCCCCCCCCAGATTCCCCCAGCCCCCCCCAGCTTCCCCCAGGTCCCCCAGCCCCCTAGGCCACTGGTTTCCCCTCCCCGAACCCCCAGCCTCCGGCTCCCCGCCACCCCCCGCCCCGCGCCCACTCTCCCCGGTTCCTCTGGGCGATGATGACAGCTGTCCTTCTGCAGAGCTGCCCGGGAATCGCCCCTCTGTCTCTGTTCCAGCCCTGCACCCCCCACACACACACACACACCGCCTGCTCAGAGCCTCAACGTGCCGCCCTGAGGACACTGCCCCTCGAATGCCCCGAGCCCAGGAGGACGAGGTGCCCATCAGGGCAGAGGCCGCTCCTGAGCAAAACCCCGAAGTCCTTCTCCCCCCAGGGCCCGGAGCGAGGGGCCTGCAGGAAGGTCAGGCTGGGGAGGGGGGGGGGACCATGTGCCCCCTCCGCCACAGGCTCAGGAGCAGGGCCCACCCTGAGATCTGCCACCCCAGAGCCACCCGTCCGGGCAGAGGGCACCTCAGAAACGAACTCTGGCCCTGCCAGCGTGGCTCAGGGATAGAGCATCCGCCTAGGAACCAGGAGGTCCGGGTTCGATTCCCG